CACACTTCTATCTAATCTAAATTACTACTTTTCCACTTGAGACAGTGAAATAACCTTAAAACAGTTTAATTTCATTTACCCCTTTCCTCTGCCTGTGTTGTGATATACTTGAGGTGTTTCACAAATTCCAGAAAACATTATTATTGGTTTGAATTTCTTTTTCAGTTTTCTTTATTTCTTCCTGAAGTTTTATGCTTCTCTCAGGTATCACTTTGTTTCAGCCTGAAGAAATATAATATTTCTTGTCCATTAGTGCTGTTGACAAATTTTTGAACTCTTATTATCTGGAACATATATTCATTTTAGAAGAATGTTTTTTTTGGGGGGTATAGAATTCTTTGCTGGCATTTTTATTTAGCTCTATAACAATGTCATTCGACTTGAATTTTCTGATTTTAAATCCCCTGTTCAAATTTTTGCCCAGTGTTTTCTGACTTAAGTAGTTTCCATTGAAAAGTGTTTTAACAGAATTTAGGGTCTCATTGTCCCTAGCTTCCTTATTATATGCCCATGTGTCCCTATCCCAAGTTTCAAGATCCCATTTCTTCCTGATCAGTGTCCTCACTTTGCCTTTTGAAAACATTTGACATTGGCAACTCCTCTGGTGGTTGGCAGTTGTATGGTCAGTAACTGTAATCCCCCCAAAATGGCTCTCAGATTCCATCTTGTTTAGCCATTCTTGCAAGAACTACCATCTTCCCTCTCCCTCCCTGTTATGTATTCCCCTGCTCCCTGCTGTCAGGTATTAACCACCTTCTCTGTAATGTATTAACCTTCCTTAGAACAGTTTTAAGCAATAAAACTTGCTATATGGCCCAGTCTTATCAGAGCATACACAGGTAGCAGTCTTGGGCACTGCCTGCGGCCTCTTCCTGATTGGGGCTGGTGCCACCAAGTCTGAAGCCAGTCACGTAGCCGCCATCCCCAATTCTTTAAACTCAGGTATGAGTGTCCCCGCAAAATGGTAGGGGGTTATTAGTCATCTTGGATCCATTCTGGCCTGCTGGACACTGAATCACTAGAAGCGAGAAATATTTGTAAGCCTACTTTCTTTATCTTTTAAATCCTTTCTCTCCTGATTCTCTTTGTTTCTCTTCTGAATACATGTTCATGTTTCTGGCTACGCCTCTGGGAAAGTTTTTCAGACTTTTGATACCTACTCAGGAGGAAGTTTTAACCTCCTTGGAAAATTCTCATAGCAATATAAGCTCTGTTACTACAAGAAATAAGGCTTTCTTTCAGGGCACAAGTGGAAACACTGAGGTGTTTTAGGCAGTGCTTGAGCTGTGACTTTAAAGCTCTGAGCTCATCTCTTTCTTTTACTGCTTTGTCTAGTGTAATAGGAGGAACCAACCAGCTTCTTTATATATCCCCTTTTGACAGAATTGCAAATGTGATCCATCAGAGCCATACTTCTCACCAATAATTGATCAGTTGGTGGTGCTGTTTTGTGTATTGATATTACCATGTCACACCATGGATTAGCAGCACCCTCTTTACTAATGGAGGCAGTCATCAGTACCTTTATGACTAATCAGACTTGATAATCAAATTAGAAAACTCAAACTTATGGTTTTGTTTCCCTAGAACTACTACTCTCAGTATTACTTTATAATTGTCTTTATTTAGAAATTATGTATATTTTAAGGAAATGTGTTCAGGGGGTAAATTGACAAGTGGTATCCTGTGAATGCTATGGTTGTTTGTCAAGTTGACTGGACCATGATTCCAAGTGGTTTAGCACTTATGATGTAATCATTCCCCATGATGAAATTTGATGTAATGTGATTCTATGATGAGATATACTATAAGCAGCCAGTCAATTGAAAGGGAGTTTCCTTTCGAGTTTTGCCTGTTTCCTATATATGGACGAGCTCTGGCAAAGCTCAGTGGCATTTTACTGATATAGAACCTGCATTTGGCTGGTCATGATCTGACCTCTGGTTCTTGGACTTGAACCAGTGACCTGCCATATTGCCTGCTGGTCTTGGGATTGTTGCCTTCATATACTATGAGCCCTTTCATCTTACCTGCTGATCTTGGATTCATCAGCCTCTGAAGCTAGCAGCCTGCTGTATTACTTGCTGATTCTAGGTTCATCAATCCTTGCAACTATGTGAGTCAGGAAGCCTCCAGCTTGATGTCTGACCCACGGACTTGGGAATTTCCAGCCTCTACAACCACATGAGCCATTTCCTTGAGATAAATCTCTCTCCCTCTCCCTCTCTCTCTCTCTCTGACTTACATAAAATAGCAATCACAGCAGTGGTTAAGTCTGTGTGTCTGTGTATATTGTGTGTGTGTGTATGTAAATTTCACTAATTCTGCTTCTTTAGAGAACCCAGCCTAAGACATTAAGGTTGTTTTTTTTTAATAACTCATTCCTAGTTTACCTAGGGGAGCTCTGGTAGCATAGTGCCTAAGGCATTTGACTGCTAACCAGAAGGCTGGTGGTTCAAACCCACCAGCCACTCCTCGGAAGGAAGGTGGGGCAATCTACTTCTGTAGTGATACTGCCTCAGAAACCCAAGGAGGGGTCACTATGAGTAGGGGCCGACTTGATGGCACGTAACAACAACAACAGTTTACCTAGAGTCTTTATAATGCTGTTTTGTTTACTCATTTGATCATGTGATCATTTCTTAATTTTAAAAAACTATTCATTCTTACTTTTGCCTTTCAGAAAATTCTTTCTTGTCTTCATGCAAGGCAATTTAAAAAAAATTCTCTCAAATTCCTTTCTTGATAATTTTCTTTCCTACGTCTGTCACTTCTTTAAGAGCTTTCTGAGTCATTCTTTTTTTTTTTTTTTTCAAATTTTTATTATGATTTGGGTGAAAGTTTACAAAACAGATTCATTTTACGTTCAATAGCTCATATACACATTTTATTTTGTGATTCTGGTTACATTCCTTACTGTGTAATATCTCACCTCCCATGTCTTCCCTGTGGGACCCTTTACCTGTGTGCTTCTTGCCTACGCATTGCTACCTCCCTACATTTTCCCCTGTGCAAATGATACCCTTCTGATCTTCCATGGTTGATTGTTCTAAGTAGTGCATCCACCTGGTATAGGTGTTCTGGTTGCATTCCTGTCTATTGTTTCGCTGAGAGTAGTGAGATCAGTTCCAGGCCCAAAGAGTGTCTCAGGACCATACTTGGGGATTTCGCCAGTCCTATCAGAGCAGTAAACCTGGTCTTTTTTATGATTTTGAGTTTTGTTCCACATTTTTCTCCCACTCTATACAGGATCACCAATTTTGATCCTTTTCCAAGTGGCTGGCATTGGTAACTGGGCACCATCTAGTTGTTCTGGTCTCAGAGTCATATAGGTTGATGTTCTTATGGTCCATTAGTCCTCTGGACTATTTCCATGTGTCTTTGATTTTCTTCACTCTTCTTTGTTCTGGATGAGGAGAGACCAGTAGTTGCCACTTAGATGGCTGCTTGCAAGCTTCTAAAACCCTACTTGTTACTCACTGAAGCAAGATGTAGAACAATATTTTTGTATACCATGTTGTGCCAACTGAGCTTGATATCCCCTGTGACCATGGAACCCAGCCCACAGGCCCAGTGGGACCTGATTCATTCTTGATGACTTCAGTTGCCACCAAATTACTATATCATCAAATCTTTATTTTCATCCTGTGTCTCCAACATTATGCTTCACATCCAGTATATTTAAGTTCTAGCTTGCTAATATATTGTGCCCTATTTTCACCCTAGTTTCCTGGTCTCACTTTGTGAGTGTACTATCTGTTTTTGTAGATAGCCTGGGGAAACACTTTCTTATGTCCAATGAATTGATATGTTCTGTTGCTAGAAATCTCATAGTATCATTGCCCTATTTTTTTTTTTTCTATTTCAACTACAGTAGTTTATGTAAGTGGTTTTGCTTTAGCCTTTAGCCTTTCTGTCACTTTTTCAAGAGAACTGATTCTGCATATGGTGATATAATTTCAGTATATGCTCATATATATTCTTTGGCTCTCCTTTTTTCCATAGCAGTGATCCCTAAAATAGGAGCTTGCACCCTAGAGGATGTACAAAACCATCCATTCAGACATCTTCCGTATGTTTTATAGATACTTCCAGTGTAGTATTTTCAAAAATTTTCCCTTATCACTCTACATATCCTAATTATTATCTCTGAATAAGGGGTATGAACCTAGAATGATTATTTCAATCTAAAATAAAACATTACACTGTCTATATTCTAAAATTTATATAAGAATAAAATTAAAATTCATAATACATATATTTACATCATATTTGTATAACATATGTTTTATATATAGTCTTCTTTAATGCTCTAAAATATTCTTGAAAGTGATGAGGGATCAGATACTTAGGTAATTATTGGTCTAAAATTACTCTGTAATTCATTCTCAGAATATCTTCATAGCCTTTTATGTCATCACAGCTCCAAGCCATATTCTCAACTCCTCATGTGCTGTTGTCCCTGATTTTTCATGTGTATTAGAGCCTCCATGCCTTTGTTTATGCCATCACCCTGTGTTCATGAAGAGCACAGTTTACTCTTCAGTCACTGCTGTACTTCTCCAGTGAAGTCCAAAATGGAACTACCTTTGTGCCACATTTATAACTTAAGCCTGTCATGTATTTATTTTTCACCATAGCTCTTGTAACATACTACTTTATGTGTTTTCCTACAAAATTATAAGCTCCTTGATATAGAAGACTTTATTATTTATCTTATTATTCCCAACAACAGGAATATTTCCAAAATATGATAAAAAAAATTTTAGCATGAATTTATGACTTAAAATGTTAGAAACATATTATTTCCAAAATATGATAAAAACAATTTTAGTATGAATTTATGACTTAAAATGTTAGGAAAATATTTCTATTAATATTTTTCTTTTTCCCATAATGTAGGAAGTAAAATGGAAATTCTGTAAATCATTTTTAGTAAGCTGTGAACAATAAGGATTAGTTACCATATTTTTTTTACATGTACCTAATTCTGAACCTTTCAGATTGAACAGAAATTCCAGGGATCAGTATCATTTAAAGATGTGATTGTGGGCTTCACCCAGGAAGAGTGGCAACACTTGGACCCTACTCAGAGGTCCCTGTATAGAGATGTGATGCTGGAGAACTACAGCAACCTTGTTTCAGTGGGTAAGGTCTTCATAGGTAATTCCAAATAGTATTCATTTACTCTATTAATTATTGGAGCACATGGACACTCTGTAGAAGTTAATGATATTTTAAGATATTAGAGATAATGATAAAATTGGAATTCAGGAATCAGTGTTGATTGATCATTTTTTTGCACCAGGAAGATATTTGTGTTTACCTTTCCAATGAAGTGTTCCAATATCATCTTCAATGGACAGCTCTAGAAGCTTCCTACTTCTTCAGGAGCCCTCAAGTCTAGAAACATGGTTAAAGTCCTAAATTATTTTCCTTTAACAGGTTATTGTGTTACCAAACCAGAGGTGATCTTCAGACTAGAGCAAGGAGAAGAGCCATGGATAGAGGAGGAAGAATTCCCAAGCCATCACTTCCCAGGTTAGTTAATATGTAGTAAACAGGTGAACTGGGAATAGTATTTCTCTGTGGTTAATCTAGGAGTTGGCGACTTTAAAACATTTTTCAAGAATATCTCTTTAGAGGTCTTAACCATTGGAAAGGAGTGAGAGTACTGGTCCCTAAATCATACCTCCCAGATAACACTCTCACAAAAAAAGTTCTCATTTTGATTTATATTTTTGGATATTCATCATTCTTACATCTGCCCATAGTTCATTTTTGCCCATCTCATGTTGACTATTTTTTTGTCTTGATCACTCTATTTCTCCAAGCAATTTCAGTGGCCCACCTTACCTCTGTTTTTCTGCATTTCTGTTTGGTTTTGGTTTGTTTTGGTTATCGTTAGGTATTTATTCATATATTAATTTTTCATTCAGTAAATACTTTTTTGATAACTTACTGTATGTCAACCCTTTTCTTATTGCTAGGGATATAGTAGTGATGAAAGTGGTGTCAAATAAGTTTATTTTAAGTAATGAAAACACAAAGACAGATATTTATGTAAATTAAATGATCTCTGGTGACTAAAACTATCAAGGAAGTTAGAGTTTGATTGATATGGGTGACCTAGTTTAAGAATGGTAATCAGAGGAAGCATTAAGGAAACCATCATTAGAGCAAAAATTTGAATGAAAGAAGGTGTGAGCTATAAGAATTCTGCCTCTTTTCAGCAGAAAATAACAGCTACTGCTGATCCCATAGGAGGGAATGTGTTTGTTGTTTCTGAGTAATAACAAAATATTACAATGTCTGGAAGGGAGTGGTTGCCAGGAGGGGCAGGAAACATGTTGCAGAAGCATTGATGATTCTAAAACATGAGACTATCATAAACCTTATTAAGGAACTTAATTTTTTATTAATTTATTGGTGCATTTTTTTTTAAAAGAAAATTAGCAACACCTGATGTGTGGTCTTGTAAGATCTTTCTCACTGGTATTGAGAAAAAATATTGAGAAGAGAGTAAAGACATAGGGTACTCCTTAGAATATTATTGTAGTCTTCATTATGAGTGACTGTGGTCACTTAGCCAAAATTGGAAAGCATGTAGGTGATGAAATGTGTCATTAGAGTCCCTCTATATTTTAAAAGTGGCATAGTAACAAAAGAGCTATAATTCATATCATCAGAATCCCGGAAAGAGAGAAGAGAGTGGGACTAAAAAGTATTCAGAGAAATAATAACTGAAAACTTCCCAAATTTAGCAAAAGACATAAAACTACACATTTCAGAAGTTGAGTGATACCAAATACGATAAACTTAAAGGTACATGCGAGGCACATCATAAGTAAAGTAATGATAAGTAAAAAGAAGGAAAACAATTTTGAAAGTAGCCAGAGAAACAACTTACTACTTGCATTGTTACTAGGTGCTGTCAAGTCAGCTCCAACTCATAGTGACCCATATACAACAAAATGAAATTTTGCTCCATACTGTATCATCCTCACAATCCCTATTACGCTTGACACCATTGTTGCAGCCACTGTGCCAATCTATCTCATTGAGTGTCTTCCTCTTTTTCACTGACCCTCTCCTTTACCACAGGAGTTCTGGTGGTGTAGTAGATTAGGCATTTGGCTGCTAACCAGGTTAGCAGTTCAAACCCACCACCTACTCTGTGGAAGGAAGATAGGGCAATCTGCTTCTGTAGAGATTTACAGCCTTGGAAATCCAATGGGAGTTGCTATAATTCAGAACCAACTCAATGGCAGTGAGCTTGTTTCTTTTGGTTTCTACTTTACCAAGCATGATATTCTTCCCCAGAGAATGGTCCCTTCTGACAACATGACTAAAGTAGGTGAGATGAAGTCTGGCCATTCTCGCTTCTAAGAAGCATTCCGGCTGCTCTTCTTCCAGGAGAGATTTGTTCATTCTTCTGGCAATCCATGATGTTTTGAGTATTCTTAGCTAACACCACAATGAAAAGGCAATCTTCAATCTTTTTTATTCATGGTCCAGCTTTCGCATGCATAGGAGGCAATTGAAAATACCATCGCTTGGGACAGGCTCACCTTAGTCTTAAAAGTGACATCTTTTCTTCTTAACACTTTTAAGAGGTCTTTTGCAGCAGATTTGCTGCTCCTATGGCTTTTCATTGTCGACCCAAGTAAAATGAAATCCTTGACAACTTCAATCTTTTCTCCATTTACTGTGATGTTGCTTATTGGTCCAGTTGTGAAGATTTTTATTTTCTTTATGTAGAGGTGTAATCCATACTGAAGACTGTAGTCTTTGATCTTCATCAGTAAGTACTTAAAGTCATCTTCACTTTCAGCAAGCAAGGTTCTGCATGTTGGTGGCGTCTCCAATCCTGATGCCACCAACTTTTTCATGTAGTCCAGCCTCTTGAATTATTTGCTCAGCATACAGATTAAATGAGAATGATGAAAGGATACATACCTTTCCTGTTTTTAAACCATGCAGTATTCCCTTGTTCTGTTTGAACAGGTTCCTCATGAGTACAATTATGTGTTCTGGAATTTACATTAATTGAAATATTGTCCATAATTTGATGTGATGTACACAGTCAGGTGCCTTTTCATAATCAATAGAACACAGTTAAACATCTTTTCTGGTATTCTTTGCTTTCATCCAAGATCATCTGACATCAACAATGATACTCCTACTTCCACATCCGCTTCTAAATCAGCTTAAATGTTCGTCAGTTCCCTGTCAATATAGTGCTACAATCATTTTTTAATTATCTGCAGCAAATTTTACTTGTGTGTGATATTAATGATATTGTTCGAAAATTTCCACATTCTCTTCTGTCACCTTTCTTTGGAATGGGAACAAATACTGATCTCTTCCAGTCAGTTGGCCAGGTAGTTGTCTTACAAAATTTCTTGGTGTAAACCGGTAAGCAGCTCCAGTGCTGCATCGATTTGCTGAAACATCTCAGAGGGCATTCCGTCAATTCCTCTAACCTTGTTTTTCACCAGTTCATCAGCGGCACTGAGTTTTTAGCAGTGTGTTGTACCAGTTGAGCTTGGTGTCCCCTGAGACTATGGTCCCGAGTCGGCAGGCCTGGTGATTCTCTCTCTCAAGGTGTTTGGTTCTCTCTGAGAAGTTACTCCAACTCTGTCTTCTGTTGCTTTTATAATGACTGTGGCTAATTTTGTATCTCTAGTATTTATGTAAGATTATCTTCAGCTAAATCTATTCTTGGTCTAGGGTAAATTCCTGTTTGCCGACCCTCACCTGATCTTCTCAGTTGTCTATGTATTTTTCTGTAGTCTGGTGTTTGGTGTTAGTGGCAATGCAGTATTGTGCATATACTAGTGTTTGCCTCTGTTGCCTTTATCTTATGTGTGTGTTTCAGTGTCCTTCCTTTCCCCAATGTCATCATGCTGGTCACATGCTCTTCCCATACAGTCCTTCTCCTTACCCAAATCAACACATGACCTCCAACTAGTCTGAAATTTTCCTTCCTTTTCCCTCCCATCCCTGGTAACCTACAAAGTGAGTTCCCTTTTCTAACTAAACCCTTTCTTGACTTTTTACAATAATGGGCTCATACAACATTTGTCCTTCTGTGAGTGACTCATTTCACTCAGAATAATGTCCCCCAAATTCATCCACATTGTGAGATGATTCACGTATTCTTCATTATTCTTTAGTGTAGCATAGTATACCATTTTGTGAATGTATCAAAATTTGGTTATCTATTCATCTGCGGATGGGCATCTAGGTTGTTTCCATCTCTTTGCTATAGTGAATTGTGAATTGTGCTGCGATGAACATGGTTGTGCATATGTCTATTCATGTCCTGTCTCTCACCTCTGTAGGGTATTTTCCTAGTAATGTAATTGCTGTATCAAATGGTATTTCTATTTTCAGTTTTTTAAGGAAACACCTTACCATTTTCCATGGTGGTTGTACCATTTTGCAGTCCCACCAGCAGGGTATGAGAGCTCCAATCTCTCTGCAACCTTGCCAGCATTTGTTGTTTTCTGTCTTGTTGAACTTTGCCATTATTGCTGGGGTGAGATGGTATCTCATTGATGTTTTGATTTGCATCTCTCTAATAGCTAATGGGGAGCGCTGGTAGCATAGTGGCTAAAGCACTTGACTGCTAACCAGAAGGCTGGCGGTTCAAACCCACCAGCCACTCCTTGGAAGGAAGGTTGGGCAATCCTACTTCCGTAGTGATACTGCCTCGGAAACCCAAGGAGGGGTCGCTATGAGTCGGGGCCGACTCGACGGCACATAACAACAACAACAACAATAGCTAATGATTGTGAGCATTTCCTCATATGTTTGTTGGATGCCAGTATATCATCTTTAGTGAAGTGTCTGTTCATGACCCTTGCCCATCTTTGAATTGGATTGTTTGTCCCTTTTGTGTTGAGCTGTTGAACTTTTCTACAAATTTTGGCAATAAGTCCTTTGTCAAATTTGTCATAGCAAAATATTTTTTCCCAGTCTGTAGGTTCTCTTCTGCCCTTTTGGAGAAGTCTTTCGATGCACATAGGAATTTAATTTTTAAAAGGTCCCAGTCATCTAGCTTCTCCTTTACTGCCTGCACATTTGGGGTTATGCTTGATAGTCTATTTATACTGTAAATTAGGTCCCTTAGATTTGCCCCCACCAGTCACTCTTCAGAAGGAAGTTTGGGCAATCTACTTCCATAGTGATACCACCTCAGAAACCCAAGGAGGGGTCACTGTGAGTTGTAATTGATTAGATGGCAGTGAGTTTGGTTTGGTTTTTTTTAGATTTACCCCTGTTTTGTGTTTGATGAGCTGTATGATTTGGGTTTTACATTTAAGTCTTTGATCCAACTTGAGTTTGTTTTTGTATATGGGATGAGGTTTGGGTCTTGTTTCATTTTTCTGCAAATGGATATTCAATTTTGCCAGCACCATTATTACAGAGGCTGTCTCTCCCCAATTTAATGGGTTTTGGTCCTTTGTCAAAGATCAGCTAGCTGTCTATAGAAGGATATGTCTATTTCTGAGTTTTCAATTCTGTTCCATTAG